GTTTTTCATGTTCTCACGGACTCCAGAAATAGAGATGAAACGGTGACGATCATTCACTGGTATACCATCAATATTTCATCGATTCAAATCGATAACTGTAGGTACGATTATCGGTCTCCTACGATAGCCAAAGGTATGGCTACCGATCCAAGTCGGTTTTCGCCAGGAAAACGATTTTTTAAGAAAACGACGGTCGTTTATCAAGCCAGACGAAAGTAAACGGGTCTCGGGAATCCGAATCTGGAGTGAGTTTTTCGAAATTCGATACTCGACTTTTTCGCTAAAGAAAGGATTTTTGCGGGAAATAGTGATTGTTAATAAACTGCTAGAAAAGATAACTGGGGTCGAGAAAACAAAATCTGAAATCACATTGTCGAGATATTAAGTGCAATATTTTCAACAAAAAAAAATTGTTTTTCTAAAAAATCATATTTTTGGTATGAAACTTTATTCCACAAAAAACCGTTTGTTTGCTAAAAAGTTTTTTCAGAAAAAAATCATGTAAAAAAATCGAGTACTAAATTTCGAAAAAGTGATTGCAGATTTGGATTCCTCGACCCCGATTTACTTTCGTCAACCTTTATGAAAAATCATTATTTTCTCAAAAAACACTTTGTTTAGTGAAAAAATCGAGTACAGAATTTTGAAAAACTGATTGCAGATTCGGAATCCTCGACGCCGATTTACTTTCGTCAACCTTTATAAAAAATCGTTATTTTCTCAAAAAAAAACGTTTTTTAGTGAAAAAATCGAGCACGAAATTTCAAAAAACTGATTGCAGATTCGGAATCCTCGACGCCGACTTACTTTCGTCAACCTTTATAAAAAATCATTATTTTCTCAAAAAACACTTTGTTTAGTGGAAAAATCGAGTACCGAATTCCGAAAAACTGATGTAACACAAAGGCAATAAAAATCGACCGGTACTATGGTGGATCGGTGGACGCTGCACCGGCACCGTTGCATCCCTAGACAGAGGAATACAAAAAAAATGACCGGTGCACCGTCACCGGTGCATCCCTACCAGTAACCGTAGATATGGCTATCGGTTTCGACCGGTGAAATGACTTTCACTGTTGTATTTCTAGTTAATATCAATACCGTCCATATAGAACTACGAAAATTTGCGGTGATAACCGGTTTCCGCTATCACTCAAACAACATAAGACTCAATGCATCCAGCAGTACTAATACGCCGGTATCCATTATGGCTTTTTATAACCTTATCGGCTTGATTCTCTGCTTCACTCCAGAGTTCTGATCAGTATTTCCCGAAACTAATTAGGACAAGGGATTACTTCTTATCAGAAAATAAAGTGCTCGAGTTTCTAAGATGTATCGTGTAGGAGAGACACCGAAATACAAAAAAGTGACCGGTGCACCGGTCCCACCGCCTCACCGTACCACCGGTGCACCGTTCACCGGTCTCACCGTTCCACCGGTTCACCGTTCACCGGTGAGCGGTGAACCGTCACCGGTGCATCCCTAATTTATGACAAAATATACACTTTTATTATGTTTTGTGCTTGTAGTGATGTTTATGTTGCAAGTAGTATTCTGTGGGGACGAATATTACGATTCCCATTTGCCGTTTCTGAAGAAAAATTTCGTTCCCATTTCCATAAAAATTTTTTGTTTCCACTCTCCTAATGCTTTCAGAATTCTTATCAAAGTTTCATTTTTCATGTTCAAGAAAAGCTACCGTCACCAGACACTGGCGTCTGTCGACGTACTTCGTGCAACGTGTAGTGATCTTAAATTAAAAATAAAATTTTGAGTTGATGGACTTTTAGTAAAATAAATCGATTATTACTTATATGTCGAAATTTCTCAAAGTTAAGTTCACAGGATTATTTCCTTCATCAATTGAACAGTTAAAAAGAGAAAAAACATTAGCACATGAACAACGTCGATGAAAAGATGAAAACACTCAAGAGAAGAAGATAATAGTAATGCTACATTGCGAGAGAATCTAAATAATAGCCCTTTCGAAGATGATAATTAAGAAGTAAATAGTGGTTGTGATAATTGAATTAAAATTCAATAAGTAATGTATGTATTTGCCTAAGTTTTGCCCACACGTGTTTCTCATTTTTCGTTTGTGGAACTCACATATATTTTCGAAGAAAACTAGTATGTGTAAGTTTTAAGTCGAAGTTTTTCTGCTCTCTCTGCCTTCCTCTCTATTATAGACCATATCGACTCAGGCCTCTATCACAGACCATAGCAACTAGTTCTACAATCGTTGATTATTGTAGCTTATATGAAATATGTGAGTTCCACATTTCAGTCCCAATGGGGGTTGCGTCAACAAGCTTTTAACTACTGAGTGATACAAAAGCCTTGGGAAGAATGCCGAAACCTCTTTCTCAACAATACAATGTCAGATTAACTCCACAATTTTTTGTTTGAAAGAGCAAAGTTTGGAGAATATATACATAAAAAAATAATTTTCTGGAATACCCATTTTTTAATATCGTTTTCCTTCCCGATTCCCGCAGCAAACGGAACGAGAGCAACGGGGAAAATCGTTCCGGCAGGACATTTTGTCGCAGGAGAAATTAGAATGCAGAGAAATTTAAAACTTCCGTAAGACCAATCAAAATTTTACCTAATCTTCACTCTCAAATTTAATTTGTCCTGGGAAAATTTAAAACTTTCCTCAGTTCGAGTTTTTCCTGTAACAGTTATTTACAGCTATTTTAATATAGAATAAATGCGAAAACTTCGGATTTAAATCCGAGAGTTATGTGTACTTCAAAAAGTGAATGAGACAGATGAGTCGTTCTAGAACGTGTGGACATCAAAATTATACTGGAGAACCTACCCTCTAAACTGTTGATTTCTAATTAGTATTGCCAAACCAATAGGACTTGGGACAGAATACAGCTCAAATTTGAACTCCTTTCCTTGATTTACCCTAATAAAGTCATTTTTCCTATAACTTGATTTCTATTGGTCACTGCTTAACCCATAGTATTTCGATGGAAGTGGAGTACAGATTCGAGTTCTCCACCCCAGAAAACCTCGAAGCATCATCACTGTGATCGGAAGATAGAGCGCTAAACATGGATCAATTAGATCGTGGACAAAAACATAACCTAGTGCTCTTTAATTATCTTTGTGATAGGTGAGTCAACCTTCTTGTTTCTCTATGTTTTGTATACCATTTTGTAGCTCTTGAAATTTTCTATCGAATGGTATGTAATAGTTGGGGCTTTAGTTGACTATGGTAGGAAAAGTCTTTTACGAAAGTGGGGATGGGTCGATCTTTCCATAGGGAAGGTGCAGGGAAAAATGAGTATTTTTGCAATAACTCAGGAAGGGCTCGGCCAATCCTTCTCATCTTCGAACTCGACCGAGATATTGTTAAGACTGAACTGTGTAGAAAATTTCATCGCGATCGGACTCTCCTTTCGAAAGTTATCGTGTTAACGGCCGGACACACTGACCGATTCTAGAGTGTACTCACTTTTTGAGTACACAAAAACAAAAGAATAAATCATCACAATAACTAAATGATATGAAATTACTTGTGCTGTGTATAAACTAATGCAGTTAACATAGACACAAGATATGTGACTATTTTACTACCCGTGACTGTCCGTGATCTAGTTCTAGTCACGGTCACGATCACGACCTTTAAAACGATATTGGCCACGAGTAACAGGAGTCATGCCACCCACTACTATTGACACCTCTACGGAAGTGGCAGCAACGGCTATTGGGACCTCCAGCCAAACTTGAATGGTGGCAATTTCTGCAAAAACGAGTGTGGAACTAGACAAGAGACTTACAATTCCAAGACTCTTGGTATGATACTTATCTTGCTCCATGTCTATTCAAAAAGTTGCAATATGTGCATCCAATTTTTGTTGGCTACCATAAAAAAGCTGCATAAGTCATTTTTCAGGTCAACACATTTTAGTCCCATTTAATTCGGGTTTGAGATTTATCGGCGATGCTGAGCAACTCACTTAGCAAGCTCGATTTTGGTTGGATTTTTGACATTCGACTAGGAATTACATTTCTCGATTTTTTTGGACCTGCCTGGAAAGCTGCCCTTTCCAACTTTATCTATGGCTACTTAAACAATAACGAGACTTGTTCTCATTGGCTTGCTGAACAAGTTCAAGTTATTATTTTGTACGTCGAGTGAACCAATGGCCACGTCTGAATAATATCTTGGCCAAAATCCAGGTTTTTACTGGGACTTTTTTAAAAGTGTCTGAGAGAGAAAAGGTAAGATACTTGACCCTCAGTTCATTTAGCCTTGGGAAAAATAATTCGAGCCTGTTCGACAAGTCAATAACAAAACCTCTTGTTATTGTTTAAAAAACTTGAGATAAAGTTCGAGAAAGTGGCTTGCTGGGTCCAAAAAAAGTTATAATGCGTGATTCACCAGCTGAAAGGCAAAAAACCAGCCAAAATTAAGCTTTCCAGGTGAATTGCTGCCCACCGCCTGCAAATTTCAAACACGAATTAATAAAGAAACGAAAACGCTTGGGCTAGACATTGCCTTATCCGATGGTTTTTTTCAGTGTTAACTGGTGCACTAAATCAGAAGAACGTCGTATGGCTTTCTGAAAGGTTTTGCTGCTATTCAAAGTTAGCTGGAGGTATCAGCTCATAGAAGTGCCCATAGCTCCTGCTAATTCAACTAGAGGTATTAATAAACCTAGCGTTTTTTTTTACACACTGAATGGTCCAATGTAGTCTAATAATAAGGTAGTGAAAGAAACAGTCTATATCTCGCTATTGCAAGAATAATGTAGAATTTACAATCAGAACTCGAATCGTTTTTTTGTTTAGCTTCCACTTTACCTGCCGATGTCCCGAAAAAATGGGAAATAATCAGACAATCAGGTGACGAAGGAGGACAAGGTGAAGTGTCTGTAATACGCGATACAACCAACGCAAATCGTCTTGCAGCAATTAAAGTTTATAGAAAAGACACGAAAGTGAAGAGATGGCGAGCACATCGTGAACTGATTGCTTTGATGAAACTTGAAGGTAGAGAGGCGAAGCATTCAATCAATTTCCATTGTGTTATATTTCTTTAATTAATGTTCTAGGCATTCGTAATGTAAGCCAGTTACAGATTGATTCTGATATCAGTACAAATGTTCCACTAATGGAAGAGGAAGCAGTCAAATCTGACCAACAATTTTGGACAATAATGAAATATATTCCAGGTGTTACATTAAGGGAATTTGTTATGTCCAGACTTAAACAGGATGGTACGATCAGTTTACTAGCAGCAATAAAATTAGCGCAACAGTTACTTCTAATTGTTAAACAAATTCACTTACGTGGAATCGTTCATCGTGATTTGAAACATCTAAATTTGATGGTTGATGAACAAAAAGGCTGTCCAGCTGAAGATGCACGAATTTATGTTGTTGATTTTGGGCTGGCTTACATTGAGACTGAAGAAGAAATTGATTGGTCAAATTTTGATGATTACAAGAAAAATTGTCCAAAAACAAATCTAGGAGAACCAATAGGGAATGCGTACTATCGTGTCCCGCAGCTGGAAGCGAAAAATTGGAACAAATTATCAGATTTTGAAAAATACAATCTGTTATTTGATCGTCGTAGTCCAACTATTGATACGTCCAATGTTTGCTCTATCTTATTTTGGCTGATTACAAATAATGAAGACATAAAACAACGGGATGATGACGGTTTCGCACCACACCAAAAAAAAGCTGCCAAAACTAGTATCATTAATAGAATCAAGGAGGCACTCCAGCTGCCATCAAGTGAGGAAAATATGGTTTAAAATAAGATTTATCAATCAAGACCTCCTCCTTATATTTCTAGATGTGAAAATTTCCAACAAATTGAATACTGAGAAACAGTTGTATCATTATCTGATGTTTACCTTTGAAAAAGGTTTCCAGTTTCCAAAAAAGCAATGGACAGTTGCGCAATTAGAAGAACATCTTCAAGTAATATGTCAGCTTCTTGAACCAAATGCTTCTCATCAAGATGAATCACTTGACGGTATATCAAAAAGCCTGATTTTGTTGAACAATAACAGCAACAATAACAACAGCAGCAACAGCGCATCACGAGCTAATCTGAAACCTAAATTCCGCCATCTTGATACGTTTGAGCAGGCTGCCCGAATATTTTCACTAGCAAAAACAAAGTTTATATCAGATAACAAAAACTATTCATGGTCCGCAAGTGGCAGCTCACAATGGGTTGATGAAGAACAAGTACTCACTGAACGTAAACATTATGATGTTTTGGTTTATTCTTATATGAATCAAACTTGGTCCATGATATTAATATGTAAAATACATATTAATGAGAACGGTCAAATTGTTACATTATCAATATGCAGCACAGTGAACGGTTTATTTCTTCAATTGCCACTTGGTCAATTCTCCACCGTTGAAGTTCATCAGATTGATATTTGTGCTGATTTTACACGTGAAATTAAGACACTTTTACAGCTGATTAAACAACAAAAGGAAAAATATGCCTTGGAAGCAGATACATCGCCAGTTGCAGATACTTCGCGTGCATCGGCCGCAAATGCACCAAGAAGAGTCAGTCGAACACGTCATAATTAGAACGTGATTTGTGCAAGGAATGGCAGTATCACACTGTCTATGCAAAAGTTTAAACTAAATATTAGTAAACATCATCGTTTGTTCCGAACGTCTGCTATCTTATGATTTATTATCTAGAGAAAAATCAGAAACTAATAATCCTGAATACTAACCCTATAAGCACATGTAACCTTCGCTTTTCAGTTAATCATCACTGCATTCTGCGCTAACTATCTAAATCTGACATGATTGATGTGTTTCATTGTACTAGGAGTAGGACTAATACCTGCCAAATCTAACTGCCTGACTCACACATCTTTGACTTCTAATTAGTTTTCGAGTAAAACATATTGGGCCACTACTGGCACATTTCCTTTCGTAAGTCAAAACATGATGAAAAGAGTGTGGATGGGGATGTGGGCGTCGATATGTTGGTGTAGGTGTGGATGTGTGGATGTTAGTGTGGGTGTGTGGCAGTGTCCGACTCGGGTCGGGTCGGGTCAGAAAAAAATTTTTTAACGTAGGGTCGGGTCGGGTCAAAAAAAAAAATTTTAACCTAGGGTCGGGCCGGGTCAATTGTCTCAATGTTGAGTAGATATCAAAAATCATTTTGAATGCTTTTTCATTTAAAAGCTCTATCGAGGTGAATGAAAAAGTTTAATAGTACAAGAAGGTATGTATCATATACTCTTCTGTTCCCTCGACTGTAGGGAGGGTCATATGAAAAAAAATAGCTTGTGTGTTTGTGGCAGGGTCAAAAGAATACCGGGGTCAAAAAAACATCAGAGATGAAGTTCATTTAGGCATAACTTGTAAAGTTCGGCCAAAGGTAATTCAGGTCGGGAAATCCGAACCTTAGGTAAGGTTTTACATCCGGCCATTCCATTGGCTAACATGCCCACCAATCAGAAACGAGCTTTTTTATTTTAAGCTTTTCGGGCCTTTTCATGAAACTTTACTATAGGTTATCGAGGGCCAGGATTCTGAATTTGAGGTCGGATTTTATATCCGACCTTCTCATTGGCTAGAAAGTCGGCCAATCAGAAATGAGCTTTTTTACTTTAAGGTTTTTGGGCTTTTTGATGAAACTTTGATATAGGTTATCGAGGGCCAGGATTCCGAATTTGAGGTCGGATTTTATATCCGACCTTCCCATTGACTTACATGCCGACCAATCAAAAATGAGCTTTTTTATTTTAAGCTTTTTGGGCCTTTTGATGAAACTTTGATATAGGTTATCGATGGCCAGGATTCCTAATCTAAAGGCAGATTTTATATCCAGCCTTCCCATTGGCTAGAAAGCCGACCAATCAAAAATGAGCTTTTTTATTTTGGGGTGTTGGTGTGGGTGTGGGTGTGGGTGTGGGTGTGGGTGTGGGTGTGGGTGTGGGTGTAGGTGTAGGTGTGGGTGTGGGTGTGGGTGTGGGCGTGGATGTGGGTGT